CCTCACCTACTTGTCTCCGTTCTTCTGATAAAAATCTTTTAGTTGTTCCTAGGATTAACACCAAAACCTTTGGTTCTAGATCATATTCATTTTCCGCAGCATCCCTTTGGAACTCATTGCCCAAACATATTATCCAGTCACCGTCAGTTGCTATTTTTAAGACAAAACTTAAGACGCACCTTTTTACCATCTAAATGTTAAGCGCCTTTGATTTTTACTTCGGTATAGTTGAAATTGGCGCTATATAAATTATTATTATTATTATTATTATTATTATTATTATTATTATTATTATTATTATTATTATTATTATTATTATTATTATTATTATTATTATAATCAATAATAGTAATCATAACCAAGAATACAACAATTAGCATTTCTTTAATAATGCTATTGAATTAAAACATTATACATAGGCTGGTTGTGTCATTAGGAGTAGGACATTAGATGTTACAGAATGTAAACTAAACTAAATACATTTAGAATACCACCTACTTTACTTTATAATGTTTTCTCACGTTGAGAAAGTTCTGAAGACAGCACGACATATTCGTGTCCCTGTTATAATATTATAATGTATTATTATTCATAGTTGTCTAAATTTAATAATAAAATTATTACTGATAATTTTAATAGAAATGGTTCTATTTACAGCCATTTAAACATATTGTACTGTACCGTAGTTAATCAATTTATTTATTACCCCATCTTTTGACTGCAACCATGGATATTCCATTAAATGAACATAGATTATTAACATTGATATTATTTTTTGTTTTGCTAACATGCAATTAAATCACTATTATTAACACATAAACACCATATTGATCATGTGATGTCCTGCTACATTATTGACCTACATGCCTGTCAGTCTCTTAACGTCAGTTAGTAAAAAAGTATAATGATTGATTTGAAATGAAAGGCCAAATCAGGTATGCAAAGTTCACAGGCCCAAAATACTTAAACAGTCCAGTAAGCCTGTGAAATACGTCACTTCAGGACATCAAATGATAGCTTTGACAGTGGCAAGTCAGACTCAGCAAATACCCGTAATATATTAAATATTTTAAAATAAAATTTTAGGCCCTATGTCCGAGTAATATATAGGACTTGACTAATTAGGTCTAAAACTCGCCTGGAGAAATGGTGAAAAAGCCACTGGACTAACCCTCCAAAAGTAAAATATGTTACACCCTTCCTTTTTAAATATCACCTACTCGAGAAAAGCTATCAAATTGAGATTAACTCCAATTTTACTATCTAAATACGATTACAATAATAAGGTTCGAACTAGTTTGGCATAAAGGTCGTGTAATGGTAAAATACTCACCTTTTTCGACCCATGATTCGACGCACCTTACCACTCGTACGACAAAAACAGGAATGGCGTCGTTTCAGTAACGAATCCCGCGTTTTTGAACTTGAAACGTAAAACGAGAACATGCGGCGCTGATTGGGCAATATAGCAAACGAATATACAATGTATAGACTTAGAAACACTTTATTTGAGAAAACCAATATTTTGACCTATCCTTAGGTCTTTATCAAGGGACATCAATTTATTTAACAAGTACATTTATTATCGTACTGACACACACGTGGCACCTCGCAATGTTGTTGACGGCCTGAAGCCAACATGGGCCCAACGGTAGTACTTAGTCATCCTATCAGACGTTTACCGACGTCGGGCCAACAACGTAACGTACTGACGGTTAATTGTAGCCATACTCATTTCAAACGTTTAGCGACGTCGGGCCAACCAAGCACTGTGACGTTGCGACAGCGTCTATAATATAATATGGAGGTTGGTTACAATCGTTTGGCCGACGTTGGTTAGAGGTTGTAAAGATGTGATTATAGAAGTGGTCGCAACGTCACAGTACGTTGTTGGCCCGACGTCGGTAAACGTTTGAAATGGAGGTTGCTTACTATACCGCTGTACGACGTTGTTTAGAGGTTGTAAATATTATAGACGCTGTCGCAACGTCACAGTACTTTGTTGGCTCGACGTCGGGAAACGTTTGAAATGGACGTTGGGTAAAACCGTTGGGCTGACGTTGGTTAGAGGTTGTAACTATTAGATATGATTATAGACGTTGTCGCAACGTCGTATTACGTTGTTGGGCCCGACGTCGGTAAACATTTTAAAGATGGCTGTGTAACCTACTGTAGGACCGTAAAGGGTTGTAAAAGTTAGCAATGATTACATATTTTGTGTCAACATCAAAGTACGCCGTTTGTGCGACGTTAAAATGATAGTACAATGTTTCTTTGTTCTGTGCTCCTCTCCTCCATGTAATGCAATTTGAATTCTCGTATTTCATCCATCCATCTTCTTTTCTGTCTACCTCTTCTCCTGACTCGATTTCTTGGCACCCAATCCATTACTTTTCTTGTCCAACTATTATCCGTCCTTCTTGCTACATGACCTGCCCATCTCCATTTCCTCTTCTTTATTTCTTGTATTATGACATTCACTTTTGTAGCCTTTCTCACATCTTCATTTCTGACTCTTGTGATTCCCATCATTGTACGTTCCATTGCTCTTTCTGTCACTTTCAATTTTCCATTCTCTTCGTATATAATTGCCCAAGTTTCAGCTGATATGCCATGACTGGTAAAATACATTGATTAAATAGCTTTTTCTTGAGTGAAAGCGGTAAATTTTTGTCCCGAAATATGAACCCAAGTTTTCCAAATTTTACCCATGCTAACTGTATTCTTCTATTGTGGTGTCATCCTCCATCTTTATCTTCTTGCCTAAGTATAATAACAGTTTACATTTCAATTGTCTTTCCATCTAGGGTGTTATGGTACTTATACCTGCTACTACCTTTAGGCCTACTGAACATACCTTGGTTTTACTGATGTTGATGTTTAGTCCAGCTTTTTTACTTCCTTCGTGCAATTGATGTAGCATTATCTGAAGCTCCCCTGGATTGTGACTAATAGGTTGTCATCTGCAAATCTTACTTGTCTTAGGCCTACTCCCTTCTATGATGTTAAATATTCCTGTCGAACTGTTTCATATCGATGTGTACTCTTGCACAAGCTTTTTTATACAGAGACCTATGATGTTATGTATTTGCTATAATATCTGCCTTTCAAGAACTTTGAAGTAGTTCTTGCTGACTGATGCTGTCGAATACTTTTTCATAGTCCACAAATAGACTGATGGAAAGCTACTCTTGGACTTCTCTATAAGCTGACTTAAGTACGTAGATGGTCTGATGTTGAAAACCTGTCCTAAATCCTGCTTGTTCGCTTGACTGGTTTTCATCCAGTTCTAGTCTTTGCATAGTGAGGATGATTCTTGTAAGAGCTACAAGTACGTGTGACTGATAGAAGAGAGTTATTAAAATAATTATTATATATTCCTCCACAGTAATATTAAATCAGGTCATTAAAATTTTGTTTTACATGACGAGGAGGAATTCCAAGCTATCAAGAAAAAAAAAAAGAAAAGTTGATTATTTACATTGAGGTTAAACTATATTCACATCTTAATTAAATTAATTATAGTAGAAAACTGCATTCGTTGTTAAATAAATCGAGACAAGTTGGTAGTCGAGTCGTTGCTTGTTTCCATCATTTATTCGTTTATCATTCTTTACATTTTCTGTTCAGTAGCACAGTAACGTTTAAAAACTGTAATTTACAATAATTGTAAAAAAATTAAAATCATTTTTCGCTCGAAATTGCATCCGCTCGAAATGGCATCCGCTCGAACTAGCATTCGCTCGAAGTGCAATAGGTCCCCTGTGGCCCCGAGGCTAAATGGAGTGATGGCTTCACGTGCAAAACATAATACGGAAGTACCGACAGGCGTTCTGGTTTCAATATTTGATGACACTATTTCACAGGAAGTTCGTCCTAGTCACTGTCAGCAGATGTACAATGAACAGACTACTGGGTCGGCCCATGAAAAACCTTCTAGAGCTACTACTACTGATAATAATACTAATACAATTGCTGTTAGCCTAGGCCTAGAATCGGATGATACTGCATCGACTGCTTTAGGGAGCGCGATGGAGCGTGCTGGCGATGGATCACAGGTTGTGGTGAGTTTGCAGTCTTAGTAGGCCTGGGCCACCCAAGTTGGTCTAATGGCAATCCTCGATATTGTTTTGTATACATACAGTGCATGTGGTTTGTTGTAATAGTCAGCTATGGCACCTGGGATAAGCATCATGCCAAAACCTAGGCCTATTAGAGTTACCAACCGTCTCGCATTTTAATGTAATTTTGGATGAAACACGCATTTTGCAGAAACACGTGCGTGATCATAAATTTGTCATGTATTTAGCACAAGTCTATGCGTGATAAGGAATTATTACGAATTCATGGGAAAATGTATTTAAAATGAGAAGAAACTGATTTTATTAAAGATATAAAAACGGTCATGCAGTAACTTGAGTCATTATTAGAGAGCTTTCCTTATCTCGTTCGAGAATCAATTCACCGAGAAAATTTCTATTTTTCGACCAAAATAACTCAGCCAACCACGCGCCATAGTAAAATGAGGCGTGTTGGCATTCAACGTACCTCATTTTACTTGCTGTGCATTCATTGTCACAACCAACCGTTGATTAGTGACTCAAACCCGACATCCACCGGGGCACCCCTGGACCCCCCCCCCCAACAGCCAACTAGTGTAGTCACGCATTTCAAATCTCTCAGGTTGGTAACTATGCAAAACAGCTGGTTTTTTTATGTTGATATTTATTTAACACATGACTTTCAATTCACAGGGGACATCTGATGATGTGCGACTGTGTGGCTTCCTAAGTAAACAAGGAGACAGAGGCTTGATTAGACCTTTTAGAACAAGATGGTAAGCAGGACTTTCTCTCACGACTAAAAACTCCTCCACCCCCTAGCTAGGCCTCATAATGGGACTTCACTGATAAAAGCATACGTTATTTTATTTATTTAAGAGAGCCCCGAATATCAGCGACCTTCTAGGATACGCTGGGAAGGGTCACCCTCATACTGTAAGTATTGTAGTGACGACCGTGCTCGCAGCGCCAATATTGTGAAAAAGCTAGCATGTTTGGTACTTACCAGTTATGGTATTGATTTCCCGCGTAGCTATAACACAATTGGTGATTAAACTGTCACTTGTTTCTCGTTTGAGCTCTAGGCTTGAAGTGCTCTATCCTCCTGAGAGCCACAGGTCCGCCGGGTGTTGCACATGTATTGGTTATATGCAAATGCACTGACCCGGAGGTCGTAGTGCCTCAAAGGCTGGACTTCATTAACCCTGCGAGGGTTAAATGAAAAAAAAAAAATTCAGAACTACAGTATGTAACATAGGCTAGTCCAACTATTGTATAATTATAAGGGATACGGATTTAATTCTAACACCTGTTGATAAAGTGTTCAACATCACTGCTTAAATTGAAACTGTCTAGGATGGGACATTAATCTGGTGGTTTCATCATAATAGGTTATAGTATAAAAATGAACTCTGTACACTATTTAAAAAATAGTAATGCACTTGTCAATTATCCAATCATTTATTAGTGGGGCATTTTACCGGTAGGTGGCGGGGACTTAGCCGGGGATGTACGTTAAAACGATGCCCCGCATTGCCGGGAGGGGGCTAGGACTTTCACATGCATGTAACTATTTTGTAAATTACATCCCCGGCCAAGTGGGGGGGGGGGTGGGGGCGGGACTACAATAGAGGGATTTAGCGATGGACATTCATGTGACTTAACTTGGGTGTTGGATATAAACAATCCACTGACACAGCGGTGTTTTACATGCAGATTTCTATCACAGCCGTCCCTTGTTTATTGCTGTATAGATGATCATAATTCCCAGTAAAATATACCAAATTGACAGGAAATTAAACTTAAGAATTTTGCCTTAATGTTTTGCTAATGCTGTAAAGGATACTGACCGCAAACATTGAGATTTTTCGACAAATGTTAGGCCTAGGCTCCTGCACATCTACGGCATGGTTAGGTATGCATGATGGTCATTGACCCACAAGCTATGCTGCGATGTTAAGCTCAGCTAAGGTTTATGAAGGGTCACTTAAATTTCAAAGCATACAATCCAAGGAGAACGCTAGGATAAGTAAATAAACACTATGTTGAATAATCGTATTGCCTTTCCTAGCCATTTACTTCACACGTTAACAGTGGGTGGTTGTTTTCGCAACCATAACATTATCATTTCCTATGCTATCGCAGTGTATTGTTTTTCATGTATACCCAAGTCAGATCATGTGACCGCCTGTAAACAATCTCTAAATCCCTCTATTGACAAGTAAAGCGCATATAAGAAGATTGTCCCCCAGTTTACTGACCATTTTGGATGCTGCACTTTGCAACTGCTGGCGGTTTCCATTAGCCAAAAGCTAATGTCAAAAACCATAGAATAATGCAAAATTCAATAACAATAGTAAAGAGATGTCAATGTATTCGCCACTACACTTATTACCACCATATTAACACTCAACACTCATAACCACCTATTAAATCAAATGCAGTCAAATGACTGTACATTTACAGTATCATCCAAACAGCTGGCAATATACTTTACAACACCCTGTTCCAAAAAATTGCACACTACTTACTTAGAAAGACATACATTCAGAATCAGAATATTTATTTCCATCTCATACACAGTACAATTAAGACTACACACTATATAAGTATCCATAAACATCGCTGAGTGGAGAGGATAGTTGTGCAATGCACAACTACCTTTAATATAGACCCCTGATATGTAGAATTACATTCACTTTTAATCATGAGAGAATAAGCTTGAATAAATTAGAGTAGTTAAACAAAACAAACGAAGAAAAAAAAATGTAAATTTTCATGAATCATCATGTTTTCAATCATTGAAGCTGGTTTTCCACTTGGCAAATGTATTTGCGCAAATCAAAAGTGTCGGTTCACTTCCTGAGCTATGATTGGTTGCGAATTGTTTTGCTTTGCAAAAAGTAGGAACAGTTCAAACTACTTTATTTCACTGGAGAAAAAATCTCTGATAGAAATGCGAATGCACTTGTGCATGAACCAATGTTTTCAATTCATGCGAATAAATTTGCTTATTGTAAAATTGGCTTGATGTATAATCACTGGATATATTCAAAACCAAAATGTACATCCGCACTCCCCAAGTATACGAGACAATGTAATAAACATTAAAGGCCCTAAATGAACAAATAAATAATGAAGACTCTCGCATCTCATTACATAAAAATAAAAAAAACATGGTGCTACCCATGGCCAGCTGTCTTCCGGAAGGCAATTGATAAAACAGTATTAAAAACATGCATATATCATGAATTTGGAGGAAGTTGGTTAGATTTTTGTTTGCACATGGAGGTAGAGGAGGCTGTCCAGGAGAATTGGGACCCCTGAAAATATTATATTTACAATTTTTTATTTTTTATTTTAGTTTGATGTATTGAGCCTCTGTTAATCTTACAAATTAAATGTTTTTTTTTCTGTTCTTACATAGGTTTGTGTTTGATCAGCATACCTGTCGTTTGTATTACTACAGAACCAAACAAGATCTGTTACCGCTTGGGTAAGTCAATGCACAGGAAATGTATAATTGCTGTCTGAAGGAGACTTATTTCCAGTGGGGTCCTTCTGGTGGTGATTGGGCCAACAATCCCCTACTCTTTTCTCAATAGTGTACTGTGTTCTTTAAAACATGCACATGCGCACAGGACCAACGGCTTAAACGTCTCATTCGAAAGACATTGCACTATCGCAACTTGCATTTCAGCCTTCCAGCTGAAACACAAGGAGAGCAGCGATGGGAATTGAACTGGGGACCCAGTAATCTCCGTGGTTCAGCGCACACACGGTAGACTAAGCAGGAAAGCTAAGCTGCACTCTTTGGGACACCCCTATTCAGGGGACATCCCTATTAAGGGGACACTTTTCCATGAAACAAAGGGAAATACATCGAACACTACAGTCAACCACTGTTAAGGGGACAGCCCTATTTAGGGGACTGGGACACTTCTGTGTGTGAGTCAATAAAATTTAATCCCTATTGTGTGGACACCCTTATTTTTTTATTGTACGGTATCAAAACAACTACATTAGTGACAAAAAAAAATTCTTTAAATTTACACGTTTTGAGCAATAAAATAAACTTACATCAAACCTGAATGTTTTCCTCTCATTGTTTAGATTCATAGGCATTGGTAGTGCATGGTTTAATTGGTATAAATACAATCTTGTGAATTTTGACCATTAACCGTGGGGATTTCTTGTTTTGTGTATTTTCATATAGATTCTAATCCACACCATACAGCCTGCACCCTGATTTATAAGTAATTATACTCTATTCATAAAATTCTATCTTGTGCATCCAATAGAATTCTCATTATATTTTATTGCACTCATATCAAGAAACAAAACCAACATTTTATAAACGTGCTTCGCAAAAATAATCAACAACGAAGAGACTATTTTTTTTTTCTTTCCTTCTTTCTTTTCTTTGGCATCAATATATACAATACATACAATACAAAATACATTAAAAACGTTAAGAAGAAAACAGAAAAAAAAGACAGGAACTATGAAAATAGAGAAAAATCATTTATTAAAGATGCCAGGATAACATAAATAAAAGTCATTTAAAATAAAATGACTTATTTCCGATGTGGTCACTTGTAGATTGTAAAGGCTAAAAAAAAAAAAAAAAAAAAAAAATAGGGAAAATAATAAGGAATCGAAAGGAAATGGAAGGAATATGTTTTAAAATTACATAAGTTTAGTAAATAATACATAAATCTTAATTTAGCAATAGTAATGTTACAAAATTTGTTGTATTAGAGTACAGTTTATAATTGTTAAAAAATATATTATGACCTTTAACCTTTTTATTTTTATTATTACAGTATTATTATTATTATTAGTGCTACCATACCTATGCTACGCAGCGTGTTAAATGAGTGTGAAAAGGTGGCGCACAACAGATCATTTTTAATGACGATCCCTTCAGAATGCCACCGACAATCAGTAGACGGCGTTGCGTCTACTGATCACAGTCTCTGTGATCAGTAGACGGTGTTGCATCTACTGATCACAGAGACTGTAATCAGTAGACAGCGTCGCGTCTACTGATCACAGAGACTGTGATCAGTTTGTTGATCACAGAGAACGGAGTTTGATTTGTTGTGCGGTGGTTGTACGACTGTTGTGAGGCAGTGAGTGCCCAGCTTAATGAACCTAATTTCCCAAAATCATCACATTCTTCTATAGTTTATTCTCTATGTAGCATATCCAGCTATCTGTGAATAGTAGCTATAGTTTGATATTAAAATAGTCTTGTGTTTAACGTATCTGTTTATGGTGTGTGCTGTTGCTTGTGTTTTTGCAGTGGCAGAAATATTTGAAATAGATAGAAGGGGGCCTAACTAGCTAGGCCTGCCTGGTCCTAGCCTTAGCACACTCATTGGGCCTAACCTACTGTAGCCTATTTTGTGCCTTGTCCCCTGATATATATTATTATATGCCTTGTATTTTTAAACTGATCTAGGAATTTGAAATAGAGTGAAGTGGGCCCACCTAGCTAGGCCTGGTCCGGTCCTATCCTTCGCGAAATTATTAGGCCTGACCTAGCCTACAGTATATTGTGCCTTGTCCACAGGCATATACAGGTATGCCTTGTATTTTTAACTGATCGATTTCTAAAACATCTCAGATTCCTTGCTGATGTTTTGAGCCATTAAAGACTATTTATTTTTATATTCAGTATATAATACAATGGGTACTCAATATTTAGGACAGTTGGCAACACTTACAGCATGCAGCTCATGTACTGAAACATACCTGTACCTATCTGATTATTTTGTAGTCTTGCACAATATTTTGTAGATCTAAGCACTGCTGTGCGGAACTGTGAGATGTGAGAAAACTCTGAAACATGGCCTGAGGCGATCAGACTGTTTATTTAGCGGCCTAGACACAATATTTTGTAGGCTTGAGCACTGCAGTGCAGAAGTGTAGTTTTTATGTGACGTAAAAAGCTTGTGAAACATACCACCACTCACTGCCACCATCTTCCATTCTGCGTCGTTGTTGTCATTTGTCATCTTTAACAATCTAATGTTTGTCTCTACATTTAGACACATCGACATTTCTAATGCCTCTTTCACATTTGACGTTGGCTGCCAGGAGAGTGGCCAGTTCAATTTTGATATCAGGTAAGAGAAGAATAACTAATTTCAAATTTTAGTCGTAATGGTAATAGTGTATATAAAGTATGACATTTATGTTATCCGCTCTGAGTGTAGGCCCCTACTATAGTTTTATGTGTCAATTTTGGATTATTGTGTTCCATTTTACACTAAGAATTGTGAGAATGATTTTTGTCTTTTTTGTCCAAAAAACTATATGTACCACCCTCCAATTAAAAACCACTTTTAGGACTTGGGTTTCCATGATCTTTAGCAGCTTTGGTCTCTAATTAGAATAATAAAAATGAAAGATGTGTTAATGTGGGACCAAGTGGTCTTTAATTGGAGGTGGTCTTTAATTAGAGGGAGAGCTGCATTCAAATTATGTCCAGTGGTTGATTTTTTTTTAAGCAACTATATTCCAATTCTTAGACATTATGTAGTGTTTTAAAGATTGGCATTATTTTGATGTCTGTTATGGAAATTAATAACTTATTCAGTCATTTTAAATGATTAATGTAATTAAGAGGTTAAATAACAGATGTTGACTGAACTGTATCTAGTACCTAAGAAAAAAAAAACATTGTTTTAGAAATATGCATGTATAGGGTACACCAATAAATATAGTTTAAGAACTAGGTTCAAGGATCATCAATTTCATAAGAGTTCAGAACATTTAATGCTAACAGGAGGTCATCACTATATGAACATTTAAAAAAAATTACATATAATCTCAAAATAACAAAATTATTGTGCTGTGTATAATCCTCAAACTTGAAACAATGGATACATTTTGTTTTTTAAATTACTGAGTGTTAACAATTATTCTGTTATTTTCTCTTTAGGGAGGAGGAGATTTAAAAAAAGTACATATAAAATGGACATTTTATTATTCATTTTGGGTAAGGGTGAGGGTCTCAGAAGGTTATGTTTTGTATTACAGTATATGAAATTATGGAAAAAAAAAAGGGATTCTCTCTTATACAATAATGCACTTTATGTATCAGTAATTTGTTATACATTTTTGTTTGGATTCTATTATTATTATTTTTTATTATTTTTTTTTTATCATCTACAGTAGGTTCTTTTATTATTTCCTGGTTTTTCTTCAAATATTTATTCCTAAGTTTGCAAACAGAATGCAAAGACCTTGAATTATTAATACTTGGTTTTGTCTGTTTTTTTTTTTTTTTAAGCTCTTTATTCCATTGGTATTTTTCTAGATTTGAAACAGTGTCTATTGAAGCTTCACAATTGCTTTTTATATTCAAATTTTCTGGCCTTTGTAGATAACCTGGGTTTCAATGAAAAATCAAACATTATTAATTGAATTGGATATGCATGGTAATATGCCTCAATTTTTATTTCCTCTCTGTGATGCGGTTTCAGGTTTAATATTTATTAAAGTGGTTTAAGGAAGAGGTGTGTGCTAAACTAAACACATAGTGGGTATGAATTTTTCTTATATTCATACCTGAAAAAAGGTATTGTTTGTTACATGTTATTTTGCTGTGAAGGATATACATTAGTGTTGGTCAATTAAGCTAATTACAGGCAGTAAGTAATTAATGCTTTTTTGAATTGATAACAAATTGGATTCACTAATTGAAGACAGGAAATACCACTAGGGTGTTTCTTCATGTTATTTGTTGTGTTTCTTGGCTCTGTTCAGCTCTGACGGACGGCAATACCACCTACAGGCTAATGATAGGCACACAATGATGTACTGGCTTCAGGAACTTCAGGTTGGTACTATATATAGCAGAGACAGTGGCAACACTTATGGGCGCTTTGTGGGTGGGGGCGGGGGAGCAGCCCCTGGGCCCCCTGTCCAAAGGGGTTCTGGAGTGTGTGAAAATATAAGTTGATTCTATGACTTATACTCACACAGTTTAATTATATTCTTTAACGATACTAACATTGCCGTTAATGCAGTATTTTTAGCCTTAATATTCATAAAGTTTTTGTGTTAATGAATACTTTACTGAACTTTCAAGGGCCCAACATGTTTTCCCCCAGGCCCCACAACTCGTTGCACCACTGAGCAGAGACAGATCTAGTGGTATATTTAGAAATATGTAGAAATTTCATTGTACTGTAAATAATTGCATTTTTGCATGACTTAATGTTTATTTTGAAAAATTATCTGAATAAGATAAAAGTAAAGTAGTATAAATCTTTAGTCCTTGTTAAAAAAAAACCTCAGCATCCCACCCAAAAAAAGTGGAACATTGCTAAGATAATTTATTATTTATTATGCACCGACGCAATTATTATTATGTTATGATGGCATTAACCTTCTTTCTTGAACTCTGAGCTATCTGTGTGCAGGGCAGTCAGTCTCTTTCCCGCCCCCAACAAACCCTATCTTCCAATTTTTAGTTTAGTAGTTGGCAATCTTTCTTCAGAACATCAAATGATAATTTTACAAGATGAACCAGCATACTTTATTAATTCTTGCGCAAACTGCATTATTGATTTTTTTCTGTTGAACTGTTAAATTCAATTCAAAAACACTTTATTACCCGAAAAGAAAATTCATTTGGTCATGTCAGGTAAAAACAATGTATAGTATACTGAATAAAAAAAAATAATAAAATGAATAAAATAGAATAAAAACATCTAATTATAGCCTAATGATTTATTTGACATTTAGTGGGGACAGGTGTCTGCTTGTGGTTGCAATACTTGAATAAATTATACAATCTTGCATCAAGAATATAACCAGCAACTATTAACTAAATATTTGTTATAAAGCTGTACTTTTTACTTAGTATGTGTCAAGGAACTGGTGGCCATAAACAAACATTCAGTTACTGTAGTTATATTTGTATAATTGTTTCTTTCTAATTTCGAAACATTGGATTCATTTGCAGGAAAAGCGTAGACAGTTCAGTTTGCTGCAGACTTGCCTTGCCCGTACTAGGAGCAACCACAAGGACACTTCAAAACAGGTTAGTTACTGTACTTGAACTTTGCAAATGACTTATGACATGACCTATGGATATCATGTGATGAAAATGAGTCTTTTGCCTAATTGACAAAACATTTTCATGGAGATTTTTTTTTCTATGGTAATGTATTAAGGCCAACTCAGCAGCGTATGACACAGCCCGGCGCGATTTTCCTCTGGCATATGCTACAATGCAACTGTCCTGACGCAGACCTATCGCCTCAGCGTTTTGAATCACACAGGCCTAAAATGGGACAACAAATCGTTACTGGGCTGCATCGTACAATGCTGTCTAGTGGGTTGGCCTTAAGACTACTCATACTGTAACATCAAGCTGAACTACAGTATTTGACTATGATGGTAGTCTAGTGTTAAATGTTACTGTAAATGAGACCATAGAAACAATCATTGGTTTTGGTAAAGTGCAACTAGATAATTTTGTGATTGTAGATGAGTTCATATTTCTGGTATTTCTAAATATCAACCTAAAGGAACATGATAGCACAACAAAGTGCATTAACAAGGGCCAAAAGTTCAAACTACTTCCTAAAACGCTATGTTTTTGGAAATATCAGGTGAAATTCGAAAGCATGTTAATTTTCCAATTGTTGTATGGCTCTGAACAGAGGTAGTGCCAAGGCTTGCCCGATGGGTGCAATTTTCCCAACGACAGCAGAGTGGGTGTGGTGGGACTTTGCTCAGAATCTTTTGTGAGTGGTCCAGAAGTTCTGTACTGGGAATATTGCAGAGATAATAATAATCATTCTTATCTTTATTATTATCATCTGTTCTAAATTACTTTTATTAATATTTTGTTCCCTCTTGTATATATGTAGGGAATTAATGTTTATGCTTAAATGATGCACTGTTAGAAAAATTATTACTGGACACTTTTACAGTATGTGAAGAGGAAAAGTTGGAAAGAGTTGTTTTGGTTTTTTATATGGTAGCCATATTTATAATCTTGATATTTGTTTTCTTTACCATGTTTTTTTTTTCACAAATAGTAATGATTTCTTTTATTAAATGTAGTATTCAACTACTGGATTAGTCAGCACCCAGCGATCAAAGGCAGCCATACAAATTGGATCACAGAATCAAAGTCAAGGTATTGGTCAAGTGCAAAACGTCACATTTTGTATTGTCATAGTTTTACTTTATAGTTAAAGTACCTGCCTACGCTAATTATAAATAATCATAGTTTTTGTTCATTTAAAATGCTACGTAGGTTTTGAAATGGCGAACTTCTACTGGTGGCCTTTAATGTCTCCCCGGCCCAACCACTGATTGAGAGAGTGACACAAGCTTTTAAACATCCTTGTTCGGGCTAAGATCAAATTATGTTTTTTTCAAAAACAATCTTTTTACAATGCCTCCCCAACATCATTTTGATGTTGTCTTTATGATAAATGACTTTGCAGGTTGTGTAGGCCTTGATAAAAATTATGTGACAAACCTAAATATGGTCCTGATGACATCACATCATGACCATATATAGGCTCATATTGACTATATATGGGCATACTGTACAACAGTTTAATAGTTTGGACAAAGCCTAGCATTGTGGGGGCTGATACTGGACTTGACTTTGCATATTCTCTTTTCAGTTTACTCTCAAATCCTCAATCCCCTGGAACCACCAAAACATTCAGTCGGAGAAGCGGCCACGCAGTCCAACCCTAATGTTGGGATGTTTAACACTGCATTCAGCAATCTCAGAAGTCAAATGTCCCAAATAAGGTAAAAGTGCCTGAGATACTTCAGCGTAATAATCTTTCGCGTTAGTTTATATCAAATCATTTCAGATTTTAAGGTTCAGATTCAGTGTTATTCTTCCATTATTTATTTATTTATTACATATTCAGCACAACAAATCAGAAAATGGCCAGAGGGGTTCCAAGACGACACCATGGACTGAGAGCCTAACACAAGATGTGGATATCCTTTAAGCCCCTGGCCAAACAAACATACAATAAATAACAAAACAACACAAAGGCATCAGATTAAAATAGCCAATAAAAAGATTGATAAAATAGATAAAAAATTAAGGAAATAGCAGTGAGTACATTTTCAGGTAGTTAAAATTTTATATAGACATTACTGTAGTTTCAGAAGTCAAATGTACCAAATATGGTAAAGTGCTCAAGATAATTCAGATTAACACTCTGACCGCTAGGGGTTTGAAAAAATAGTATCAGCCACCACCAGACATTTTAGCAAATTTTAAAACTTTTTTGAAGCTCATTGTGAGTGCGCATGTGATCAGATTGACATGTAATGAATACTGCAAAAACTACAAACATCTTAGCTTTACAATGGTACCAAACACTTTATTCTAATCACAATCTGTGACCAGTAACAGTAAAATAAAAATAACTCACTTTTGGAGATTAACGCAGATTTACACAATTTCGCACAATGAAGCTGACATAATCGCGATTTTGTGGAAGTACATCAATACCACTTTGCTCTATGTAAACAAACAAATAGTGAAATACTTACAGTCCAGACTGAATATAGTGTTCAAATTGTTAGTATATGTCACCATCTATCAGATTCCTTAAGAAAACCTGAAACACGAAGATCTCCGTGTTTGGCGATCAAGCTTTGTGTTATCAAATCTCTGTGTTTGGCGGGCAGAGTGTTAATAATCATTCGTAATAGGTATCTAATCATTTCATATTAAGATTCAGATTTTTTATGTTATTCGTCCAATAAGGAAATTGCAGTGAGTACATTTTCAAGTCATTAAAATTTTATATAAGTATTAGATTATATAGATAATGCATGTATATAGTAGTTAAAATTTTAAGCATTAACGTAAGAGATCAAGATGTCGATGTTGTGACATTATATATTTAACCAAGTAATTCATTCATGTAATTCTACCAAATTTGTTTAGAATACGCTGAATTGGATGATTGTTTTTATCTTTTATCTATTTCCTTTTTCTTTGTATTTATTTATATCACATAATAAAATTATCTTTTTAATACACAAGGCACCCTGAGATCTATATTTCTTCCTTAATTATATGTATTTAAGCATTTATCAATTTAATACTACACTGTTTTCATTCACCAATTTAATTAAATTTTTATTTTCTCCTCCATTTGGATGCTTTTGAAAAAAGCATTTGCTATTCAGCCGTCCCATGGAAAAACAACGTAACTGCTGTTATATTTTTGTGCAGTTGCTGTACATTGTTTTACCTTGAAGCAACCATATTATAATAAGAAAACAATATTTTATTTTTATTGTGTTTCTGCCCTCCACTGATGATCCTTAAATAAATAAGTTCACTATTAAAATAAGGTATAAAAAATGTCTTGGCCTAAGGACTAGTGAATTGATGCAGGTTTTGGCCTGCTTTACTATAATACAAATATGGTAGAATTTTTTTTTTTTTGTTTTTTAATTACTTAATTGTTACTGTGCTTTAGCCATTCTCTCTGAGAATTTCTTGGCTATTAATGATTGTAAATGAATCACTGTAAATTTTTTTTTATTTAATTCGCATCCAACAGTAAGTAACTCTCCAATTAGGGAGCATAGTTGTTTTTAGTCATAAAACAACAATTTTACCAATTAATTATTATGTTCGCTTATTTCTTTCTGCTGCAGCTTGCCTTCAAGAAAAAGAACGTCAAGTGGGCAGGAAACTATAGTGACCAGCAAACGTGGATCAGGGATCGATTTCCAGACCTCAACAGAAATGGAACCAGCAACAACTGAGGGGCAACGAGCCAAGTCCAAGGAGGGTTTCATGTCAAATTTTAGGAGGTCAGAATTATAATTTGATATTTTATTGCTGCGAAGCAGCCAATTCATATTCTTGACAGCAATTTGACCTCTGAAAGGTCATTGTTTGTCAAAAAACCTGCGCCTAAGACAACTGAAAAGCGGAGTTTCCTTCTTTTGTTCTGCCGGGTAAAATCAATTACCTTAGGCGACGTTTGCATATCGCGACGCTGGAGTACTATTCAGCGTTTTTACTATATTTCTAGGTTACCTATTTCTACGTTTAATCGGCTCATGTCTCAGCCACAATATTTTGAGGCCAATATTATTTACGAACCCAGTTGAACTTATTTACTAGCCTATTTCAACGTGCTAATTATTACATTTAGGCGACGCTTGTTGTAGACTGGCATACTGTTTTCGGAAATAAATACCAGTATACACATGCGCAGATCGATTCGCCAGCAGCGAGTCATCGCCAGCAGCAGCGAGTCGCCAGCAGCGAGATGTCACTGCAGCAAAACACTATTGTACACGGTACCAACGCTGTTCTAATATAGACAATGGGTCGTGTCTCATATTATTTGTTATATTTTATTTTCACTTGACTCGCATAAATAATTTTGTTCGAAGAACATTTTATGCAGTTTTACTTCGCAGCACTTCACTTGCAATTTGCAATTTCTAGTTTAGTTAATTATTTGTGACTACTGCAAAATACATTGGTTATTCTTAAGATAGGTAAAATCCTAATTTTTGGAAAAATCTGCGCAGGAATCGGCCCTTATTTTCCATAATGCACAGACGGATTTCTGGCTTAATTTTTGCGTGAAGGATATATTCCCTGCGCAGGCCTTACTTTAGAGTCGGACCCTTTTGCTGAGATTTGAGGGAAACCATATTTTTTAAAATGACATCAAACTCCTATTGAGGGACACCTTATAAAAGAGAATTTTTGGTCCTAAAGTGTCTGCTTAATAGGGGTTCTACTGAATGTTGTCAGCATTATTTTGTATTTTAAATGCCATCATTTAATAATTTATTTACTGCAGAAAGACTCCTCCAGTCTCTAAAAGTAGCTCTTTGACGTCCAGTAGCCCCAGCTTGGACAGTGCATGTGGGAAATGTCAGCAGGTCAGTGTTTTTTTTTTTTTTGGGTTTCTTCTAATCATTCTTAACCTCTGCCCAGATTATCAAAAAACTATTGTAAGTTACCATATATATCTGAAAATTTTAATATTTTAAATGCCAAACTTTTTAATTATGCCTATTTTAATATTGAACTTTTTAAATTTTTTAACTTTAACTGTTTATATATTTTTAAAAACATATATTCTGTATTGCATTTGGTTGTTTCTTGTGAAGGGCCCCACTCGACAGTGATTGAGTTCACTTTTGGGGTGTCCTGTGTCATTTGACTGTGTTTGTTCTTTGCTGTTTCCTTTATTGTCAATTTTAATGTGACAAATAAATGAAATGAAATAAAATAATCATAATGTGTCTATAATATATGGTCATGTTGTTAAGTCATCATGACCATACTCGTTACATGTTTTTGTCAAATATAATTTGCACAGGGTTGATAACATGCCAACATTTTACCGGTCGACAAGTGCATATACTATTAAATGTATACAGTAAAACCTCAAATTTGAAGCCCAATGGGCTTAATCTCAAATGTCATATTATTTAGTTTGCAGAATTAGCCTCGAAAAGAAACTCATCTCAAAGAGAAGCCCATGGGCTTCTTTTCAAGATAGCATAGGCTTGTTTTTGAGATAGTACACGTACATGCACTCCACATGAATTTCAAACAACAAAATAAATTAAAAACAACCTGGTTTATACAGTGGTTTAGGTGTTTTAATGCCGGTTAAATACTCGTACTCCATATACAGATTGATGTTACAGTGGCCTTATTTATTGTTTTATATTACAAATTCACAAAATTTACAGCATTCATTTTGAAAAGAAGCCCCCCTCTTTACTTTGCAAAAAAAGAAGCCCATCCAAAGCTTAGGGGTTCAATTGGAGGTTTTACGGTAGATGAATATTTCACCGCCTATCATAGATAAGTAGATAACTTCATTGTTCTTCTTGCAAATTTAAACAAGAAAATTCATTTTCATTGCCAAATGCATTAAAATATATAAAATAGTGCAGAATCACATGTAAAAATAAAAAAAAAGTCATTTATAATATATACATTTTATAAAATTACCATTTTATTACAACCACAGATGTTCATTAAATTATTGTCTAATAGAAATTTAGAATTGAGTATAGAAATATGCTGCAAATATATTCCAGGTCATTAAAAAATAGATCATTCAGTTTTATGTACAGTATTGAAAATCTTATTTTTATAACCATTAAAATTAATCTTTACAATTCCCTAATGTTCAATCATATTACGCTATCAACATCATTGCTGATTTCAGGGTTTTAATTAAACTGTTTATGAAATTGTTATGTTTTTTGGATCATAGATGTTGCATTTTAAAATATTGTTGCTCTGTTTGTGAATATGAAATAATTATGAATTATAGATTTTTTGTATATTAAAAGATTTTAAGTCAGTACTACAGTCGCACTGGACTTAAAAAAAGGAATATTTTACTAAGACTAGGTAAATCTTACCACTGACCGCACTTGGATTTTTGGAGTCGGTTAGTTTTAATGTAAGAAATGGTAAAACTAACCAGGCTGTGAAAATAAACAATTGAGCTGTAAAAATAAACTATTATGTGACAAATAGATTTGATGTACCCAGTAAATCTTACCGCTGTCCGCACTTGAATTTTTGGAGTCGGTCAGTTTTACTGAAATTGTAAAACTGACACCGATCGGAGAAAATAAGTCATAGATTGTGCTAATTCGTGGGAAGAAGTAAGTTTCCTGGGCTGTTTGCACTGGTCTAATTATGGTAGAACTTAAAACTAACCAGTGTCTCGCTAATAGTTTACTGAAAAAAAGTCCAGTGTGATTGCGTGTGTAGTTGGCAAGATTTTATATGTCCATTTTAAAAATCAATTTTTAAGTTAATTATTTTTCCAAGCTTCAAAACCAAATCTCATCGTTGGTGGAGGAGAGTGAAGCAATGGAGAATGAATTCAAAGCAAAACAAGAGTTGATTACAGTGCTCCATCAGCAGCTAACTGCTGCTAGTTTAGAAAAAGCAACAAGGTAGAGATACAATCACAAATACATCTTTTGCTGCTTTAAATTCATGTTTGTAACTTCTGACTATGATTTATGATTGCTGTATACTGTATGTTCCCTTAAGCCTGGGGTGGATTGCTATAAGTGGTCTTTAGATGGTCTTAATGCTTAGCCGGCTTTAATCGAGACGTCACTACTGGTCTATGGTTATAGACCATTGCTATTCCTCGGTCTAACCAGTTAGCCGTCTTAAATTTTAATGCCTACTTGGAGGAGGCTTAAAACTGTCTTAAGTCATTTTTATCATGGCATGACATGTACAGTCCTAGGCCTGGATTGTCAAAGACTAATAAAATCATGTTATAATTATAATGAAAGATGTGGTCTAAAGTACAATGAGAGCGCCAGCTGGAGACAAGGGGAAATTTCCCTCCAGCGGACAAGCATGGATCCCGTCATCAGTGCCATAATGAGGTTGTTGGACTAGAATATTAATTTGCCAATTTTAAACAAAGTTATTGATTGTTTATATTCTGCAGCTTCCAGTTCCTGGAATGTAAAACAGACCAAGAAAAGTTGATGATATTGCAACGTAAAAATAAACAACTTGTTCAATTGGAGCAACTGCTAGAGGAGCTGAACAGTGACAGAGATGCAATAAAAGAACAATTCAGGTTCGTTACTATGGCGACTATTGGTGCTGTCATAGCTTTCTTTTTGTCACGGATTATAATTCCATGCAAATCACTTATGTTTTTTGGCAAGGCATGTCACTGCATTTTGGGGGTGGGGGGAGGGTGCATTCCCCTCCAAACTAATGCCTCGAGGCAATAGAATTCAGCATTCTCCTTATGACTAGTCAATATTTGTATACTATTACTACTGTTTTACTATATACTACTACATTACTACTATTAAGTACTATTACTATTTTATTGGTTGCAGAACATGTGAACTTGAAGTTAAGGGTTTAAAAGAGCAAGTGAACATGTTTCAGGAACTAGTAATGGCTAAGGATGAGATAGTTATGTCTCTTACATCAAGGGTAAACATTCCTTTCTTATTTTATTGTTTTTAACAACATTTTAACATAACAGGGTTCAATGAACACGCCAAGGATGTGATTTCACGTCCTGTATGTACAGCATACTTCTATTGTTATTAATTAAAAATAAAATAAATAAAAAATAAATAAATAACTAAATAAAATTAAAATAAATTAAATTTGTCATGTAAAGCGCCGCTGATTACGGTATATATTGTAGAAATGTGCGCTATATAAATGTTAATGTTACTATTAATATATTGCTCACTGTCAGTGGTCACCAGAACACACACTTGTGCCCTGGATGTTCAGGGAGGACCCTGAAGTAATGATGTAAAAATAACTTCTGTATGTTTTGTTCGTGTTTCACTACAGTTAATGGAAGTGATTTTCATTATGGCGGCCTCCTTATATGCCTTGGTGTATGGGATGCAACTAAGAAAACAGCATTTGGCAGTCAACATGTTAACAATAATGAAATTTTGTATCCAAGTATTGTATAACATAGTAATTGTGAATTAAAACTTGATCGTTTCATTGCATAGGTACAAGAACTTGAGAACCGAGGTCCCGTATTAGCTACTTATACCAACTCAGTTGTAGATTGTAATAAGACAAGTGACCAAGGAAATGGACTTGACGTGGGAAGCGATTTTTCAAGCAGTGTTGCGCTGGCAACATCAATAGACCACCCAATTCCTCAGTCATTGGTCAACCTTCAAGAACTTGACAAGCTAAAGGTAAGCCTTGTTCATCAAAATAATTAATTCTTATTAAATTTCCAGTTCGTACTTATAATTTTAAGATGCATACACCCTGTATCCTATTAATGAGGAAGTGCTCAGAAAATATACAAGGGAGAAAACAATATATATAGAGGAAAATATAAAAAAGAGATCAGAAAACCAAAAATAGACAAAATGTAAGTATTAAATAAAGTAGGAAAGGTGAGTTTAAGTGTCATTTTTAAATTCTCCACAGAAGGCGATTCATGTACAAATTTAATTATAATTTCAATTATAATATTAATAGCAATATACTTTGATATAAAATATTCATGTATCACATGGTCTAAAACACAGGTGAGTAGATTGCAGGCTGCAGGCCAACTGGGGGCCATCGATGATTATCTTGCGGCCTGTGAAAATATATTTAAAGTCCAATGAGTGTCACCCGCCAACCATCCTTGGCTAGAAAACACCTTGTTTTTTACAGCATGACATCAATCATCTGTAAAATGTAAAATTAAAGCTGAGAATAAATTGGTATATAAGCAGTGCATGAAGGTTTTTGCAAGTACACTGGAAAAGTTTGGGTGCGGTACTTGGTTTTAAATCAAAAATTAACTTTGACCCTTCAACCAATTTTGATGCCCTCCCCTGGTCTAAAGGTTAGGCTATAATTAAGCCCATGAAAGACTACTGTAAATCAATAATGTTGCATATTATTTTCAATTTAGGATTCTTTGCAAGCATACGAAACACAAAATAAATTTTTGAACAAGGAGATCCTTGAGTTGAACCAACTACGTGCTAATGATAGTTTGAGAGAAAAATCTTTAATTTAGTAAGTTTCAATTAGTTTAATTAAAATATAATGAGCTGTTTAAAATCTAATGTTGTTCACCAGTATTGTTTACATTGCATAACTGTTAGGAAAATGTCTTTTTTTTTAATATCCCTTTGATTTTTTTCATTGTATTATACACATACATCTGGACTAAAAACTGTGATGTTATTTAGTAAATTCATATGTAGTACATATTAATTATAAACATTCATTATACAGTACTATTGTAATAGCGATGCTAGTAGTAATATTGTTAAATATACCTATATAATATATATAATGATATAAATATTCTTAGAAAATGATATAGGTATGCATTTAGCACAAGATGATATAGATAATTTGGTCTGATATGTTGCATAATGTGGGTAATAATTCAAATTGTTCAACACAAATTTTGTGATGCTAGGCTGTGCAACTTTACAATAAAATGCAATTTCTATTTTATTTAAATAAAAGCAACAAGACTGAGTTGGAAGCTAATTACTGCAGGATCAACAGCAAATATTTGCTTTTACTTAAAGAACTGAAAACACCGCAAAGAGGTAAATATTATTTATTTTTTTAGGTTTTTTATGCCTTTTTTAACATGGTTAATATATCCACCAAAGCATTGATCGTCAACGAAGGAAGATCCTTCCGTAAAGCATACCGAAGTTGTTCTCTATAAGCGCTATAGAGTAAAACAGTCGTGTCGTCACGACACCAGGCGGCGCTCTCTGTTGTCAACGGACATTAGTTCATTATGTCTGAATGACTTCATAGGCTTTCTGGAATAGACATTTTGAAATCTAATATTTTACCATCAAAATGTACTAAAAACACAAAAGCTCGCATTATATTAGTTTTTATCGAATATACATTTAATCATCAATTAAAATTTAAAAAAAAAAAAGTAAGATACAACATCTTAATAATTACGTTAGAAATTGGGATCAGTGGTTTGTAAGTGAAGAAAATGGCTTCCGGTTGAACACTTTTTGTAACGATAGCAACGGAGTAGTATCACGTGGTATCGTGACGTAACAATGTAGTACTCTATAACTAAACTCTGAAGTTCACAGTCACAATTCTTGCAGCCAGTTGGCATAGTTAAGCGTGTTGACATAAAGGGCGCCGCTAAAAACAGCCATGACATCCATCCAGCTGCTGCTCGGCCAGTGTTCGGTTGGTAGAACCAAGTCTTCTCGGATGAGGACTTAAAATTGGGGTCTTGTGTACACATCTGGCTCGTGTGCACTTCAAGGAACCCATTGCACCTTTCGGAAGAATAATTGGGTGAGAAGAGCAGGGGGTTACCCTGATGCTATGGTTCATTTCAGCCCCTGTTGTTGTTGAATGATGTGAACATGTTGCTACTACTGTGCAACTTTACAATAAAATGCAATTTCTATTTTATTTAAATAAAAGCAACAAGACCGAGTTGGAAGCTAATTACTGCAGGATCAACAGCAAATATTTGCTTTTACTTAAAGAACTGAAAACACCACAAAGAGGTAAATATTATTTATTTTTTTAGGTTTTTTATACCTTTTTTAACATGGTTAATATATCCACCAAAGCATTGATCGTCAACGAAGGAAGATCCTTCCGTAAAGCATACCGAAGTTGTTCTCTATAAGCGCTATAGAGTAAAACAGTCGTGTCGTCACGACACCAGGCGGCGCTCTCTGTTGTCAACGGACATTAGTTCATTATGTCTGAATGACTTCATAGGCTTTCTGGAATAGACATTTTGAAATCTAATATTTTACCATCAAAATGTACTAAAAACACAAAAGCTCGCATTATATTAGTTTTTATCGAATATACATTTAATCATCAATTAAAATTTAAAAAAAAAAAAGTAAGATACAACATCTTAATAATTACGTTAGAAATTGGGATCAGTGGTTTGTAAGTGAAGAAAATGGCTTCCGGTTGAACACTTTTTGTAACGATAGCAACGGAGTAGTATCACGTGGTATCGTGACGTAACAATGTAGTACTCTATAACTAAACTCTGAAGTTCACAGTCACAATTCTTGCAGCCATTTGGCATAGTTAAGCGTGTTGACATAAAGGGTGCCGCTAAAAACAGCCATGACATTCATCCAGCTGCTGCTCGGCCAGTGTTCGGTTGGTAGAACCAAGTCTTCTCAGATGAGGACTTAAAATTGGAGTCTTGTGTACACATCTGGCTCGTGTGCACTTCAAGGAACCCATTGCATCTTTCGGAAGAGTAATTGGGTGGGGGGGGGTGGTGTTACCCTGATGCTATGGTTCATTTCAGCCCCTGTTGTTGTTGAATGATGTGAACATGTTGCTACTAAAAGTGCTCTTTACGGCTGTCACTTATTCACAGACCATGCCTGTACGCAATTCAGGACAATGACACAGGTAGGAGAATATGGGTTATTTATTCTCCTACCTTTACTTTACCTTACTTTTACCTTTACCTTTGCCTATAGGAGGTGCAATTTTAAAGTGACAAGTGAGTGTAGAAGAATAATTTAAAATTGATGGTGTTTATAGCTAGAGGATTTTTTTACTACTTAAAGTGTATGTTTTTAATGCTCAGCAAGTTTTCAGAGTGTGGCATTTTGTTGAAATGGCACATGGGATAAGCTAAGCTTATCCCATCTGCCATTTCAACAAGGTGCCACACCCCTAACTCCTAACATTTCTTTGGAACCATTTCCTTTTCTCTCTTAGATGTGTGACTACCTGTAGCTATAGTCTATAATTTGTTGGTTTTCTTTACTTCTATTTAATAGGCAGCTTAATGTAATGTCTTTCTCTAATTGAGTTAAAGAATCTGAGTGAATTTTGATTTTGTATTATTTTGATGTTATGTTTTCACATTAGACGGTGTACCCCAAGCGGATGATATCATTTCACGTCTCCTCCAAGAAGCAATTGATGGCGATGTTTCAGCTCCTGTGGAGAATACCAAGAGTGATCTAACCAGGTAAATTATGATGTAAAACTTTAAGAATATATTTTCATTACTAAACAAACCAGGTGATAGTTATTAGCTCTAGTATGTAGCTGCTTGTGAAAGTCAACATGTGCACGATTAGCAATTATAGGTCAATGGTGACGTCATCACTGCAGCTCCCAATGTTATTTTCCTATTTCTAACCATGCACTAATTTCCACATAGTGTATGATATGCAACTATCTAATTGTTTAATAGTTTATGTCAGTTGGTATCAGTTGTGTTGGTTCGAGTTGCAAAGGCGATGTAAGCTTAGCTGTATGTTTCCACTTAGCCTCTAATATATACCTGAAGGTGATGCCTTCTGATAATGGGATCAACCAGATCTTTTTAACTGACTATGATAATTTGCATGTAGCTGACAATCAGAATGTAATGAATTGTACATTATTATTTGATTGGTTTAGAAATTGTATGGTTATTTGCAGGTTTGAAGAGTATGACGAGTATGGGTTCAGTATAACAGCGGAAGGAGACAATGAAGATACACTCAGCTCAAGGGCTGCTCAGTTCCAAAGAAGATCAGATGAAATATCGGTTTGTTTGTTTGTTTTTTTTTTAATTTCATGCTCACATAAACATTACATCGAAAAAATTTACAAAGCAAAACCATTCAATATAAACAGTGGAAAACATCAAAAAGGTAAAAGAGATCAGATAAGAGATCAGAAAAAGAAAGCAGGTCAGAGGGAGCATTGGATAACCTTTTAACCTGAAGGTTTGTTTCCAAAGGGATCCAGAAAACAAATAAAAATAAAAAATAAAAAAATAATTTTAAAAATTAAAAACAAAATAAAAGAAAAGAAAAGAAAATAATAAAAAAGAATTGAAAATAAAAAAAATGATTGTATTATGTTGCTATTTATGGCTACCTTCAGACTTGAGAGATACCCCAGGCGTATCTAATGCCAGATGTACCTTAATCCATGACATAATTAGCAACATGTTCACACTGCGCGATCAACTTAACGCAAGCGCAAGTATTTGTGAGAAAAATAGAATTTTGTAATTACGCTTTTTACAGCTATGCTCTTGTGATTGATCAAATCCTGGCCTGGGTTTAAGATCATTGATGCATGACTGTCGTAACTTAGTGTCATATGCTAATCTCGGGTCTGGTGGTGGATTATCGTACGGCTTTGATTTGGTGTTAATACTGGCATTCGCTATGTTGCGCACAAGTTCACACCACTTGATTAACGTTGCACTTGTGTCTGAACATAGCCTATATGTATTGCATAAGACAGAGATCATGTCAAATATTAATATACTAGAACCCTTCTTTTGGGATACCCCTATTATGGGGACACTTTTTTGGTCCCATAACTGTCCCCCTTAATACGGGTTCTACTGTTGTAATAATAATAATAATAATATAATAATGATGTAATAACAATAAAGTAATGATAATGAGGAGGACAATGGCAGCAGAAGCGGCGACGACTATACGGAAATAAACAAAATAACAATGTCTCATATGCTCCATATTGCCAAGATCTGTTAGTGCTTCAGTTAAAACCATTGGATCAGTCATCTATGCAAAGCATTCTTACTCAAATTGTTTCAAATCACTTTAGTAAGCAATGGCTAACATTATAATCATTTAGTATTTGTGGCAAAGACAAGCCAAACCAGTCACTCGTCGCAAATCCACATTTATTACCCATGTTGTATATGCTTTATTTGCTATAATCTACTATTATTTGCAGGCAAAGATGAGAGATTTGGAGATATCATTGTCAGTTAAGTGGGAGAACTATTTTGTGAATCTCGGAGACAGAGAACTTGTGAAAACTGTAAGTAAGCACTAACCTGTTTAGAAATGCTATATTATCATTTGTTAATGATTTTATATACAGTGCAGTGGTGTATAAATTTCTCAAAAGAATGGAGAAAAAAAGAAAATTACATTTAAATTTAAATCTGAGCGTGCCATTTCTGTCCATCTATAGGTGCAATAATTATACATTTTCTTGACTCAGTCCCAAACATGATGGGGCTGGGGTGGTCTACACCCTCCTGTAATAGTTCTTTCCTTGGCCCCCTCTCTTGGAATGGATTTGATTTATTCGGTGTGTAAACACCAAGGATAGCCCACAAAAGTCTAGAAGAAGACTTATTTCCAGTGGGGTCCTTCTGGTGGTGATTGGGCAGTACACCGGAAGACAATCCCCTACTCTTTTTCGAAGAGTGTACTGCGTTCTTTAATGTGCACATGGGCCATTAATGCACACAGGACCTGTATAACTTGTGTTAGGACCTAATAACTTGTATTTCAGCCCTCCATCTGAAATACAAGGAGAGACAGCGATGGGAATTGAACCGGGGACCTAGAGATCTCCACGGTTCAGCGCACACACAGTGGCTACCACCAGATTAGCCGACTGAGCTAAGCTGCTCTCTACATGCCCCATATTCCTGGATCTGCCGCTGCAGTGCAGTCTGTAGGGCTCCAAAAGTTATGGACATATTCTTTAATTTGGATACTTTAGCTTTTTTCTATAACTTTTGCAGTTTGCTTGTAGTTATATGGATGATTACTGTTCACTTTGTCTTTCCTTTTCAATTATATGAATTATTTGAAAGAAGAGGAACTTAATAAGAGATCAAAATTAAAAGTGGAATTTTTTAATGTGTAGCTCCTTAACTATTTCTTAATTATGTTGTAGTTTTTCCAGTGTGAGTCTTTTTTTTTCTCATTCATTTTGATTATATACCAATTATCTTATTTTCTGCTTTTTCTTTTAGGCTGAACTTAAGGCACTGGTGCGACAAGGAATCCCTCATGAATTTAGAGCTAATGTCTGGAAAGGGTAAGAAATATAAAAGCAGCACTTAATTAATATTTTAATTAGATTTTCATGTTAATCGTATATTTACTGTTAATTGTTATGTGTATGTTTGCATAAAGATTGAAAGAAAAAAACAGCAAATGGCAGTGAATATGCAACCTATGTTCCTCAATACATAATATTGCTTACTTTTTAAAATTTTTTTAATGTGTTAGATGTGTAGATTCATTTGTGAAGAAAGATAGAGAAAAGTTTGGCCTTGGTTACTACATGAAACTCCTGGACACAAAGGTAAAGCCCTTTAACCTGTCTCTCTATCCATCCAATTTCTGTCTGTGACTCCATTTATCATACATTTATTTGCCATATTTTCCTTCTGAGACAAGACTTTTTTTTTATTCCTTGTTTTGCATGCTTATTTTTGTAAAGGTTGTCGGAGCAGGGCGGAATAAAAATAAAAATAAAATTTTGTTTTCTTATTTAGCAAATAGATTTGACAAAATCATCCAGATGGAGGAGAAAATAAAAATAAAATTTTGTTGGTGAATGTAGAATAGAATGTTTAAATTCTATTCTAATTCATGTACTTATGAAGAAATATACATATCTTATCTTTGGAGACTTCAAGGCAGCGGAGGGCGTAATAAAAATTTAAAAAAAAATTATTTTTTTCCGCAATTTCCTCTTTTTCGTGATGGCGGGTGCACTAATTGGCCAAAAATAAAATTTTATTTTTATTCGAAATCATCAATATTTGCAGTCAGTAGGTTCACTAAACAAGGTATAAAAAAGTCTCGCCTGAGGAACAGTTTATCAGACTCTTTTTTTGCTTTTGTTTACAAATTGTCTATTACAATTTTCCAATAGCACATGTATTATCTGTTTCATAGAAATACCAACGCAGTCCAGCAGCTAAGCAAATTGAGTTGGACTTGCTGAGGACCTTACCAACCAATAAGCATTACTTAAATATGGACTCAGATGGCGTGAGTATGGTTCTGTCATTAGCAGGCACATAAGTCATACTGTAGGCTAATTTAATCTTTCTAAGCCTGGGGAAAATGTTTAATGCCTGGTTCACACGAGAGCCCTAGTATCTGGATCGGAAGCTAACCGTTAGAGCTAACCGTTAGCACCTACGTGAGAACCCCCGATCGGTTAGCACTAACCTTTAGCAGTATCCGGATACCGCTAACGGTTAACAAGCGCTATCGGTTAGCAAGTTGAGCGCGTTTTTATCATCAACCAATCACACGTATGCGTTTACAATTTCCAGTTTCTTATTGGCCATTGATTCGATCATCATATTTTTTGTATCCGGATGGGGATTTTAACAGTTAACGGTTTAAGCAGGATCTGGATCCTGCTAACAGTTAGCAGCCATGTGAGAACATAGCCGAAGTTTATATCTTTTTTGCAGCTTTTTCAGGATAGCAGCATTTACCTTTTTATCAATGGAACTAATTACAAAAAGTTTGTCAAGTCATATCTATTCTAGTCTTTAATATATTGTGGTATTCTTATCACAGATTCCTAAGCTGAGGAAGGTACTGCTGGCTTATAGTGTTCATAATCCAATGATAGGCTATTGTCAAGGGCTGAACCGACTGGCAGCCCTTGCTTTACTATACCTGAATGAAGAAGATGCTTTCTGGTAAGTGTTGCTCTTGCAGCCTAAAATATTTTGTTATTCATTTGCACATGGGCCATAGATCGCCAATAGCGAACTTCATTACTCTCCTGCTAGAAGGTGGCAATCCCTTACACATTTTATGATGTTGTTATATGCAGATACAAAAAAAAAACATATGATTGATATCATTTCAAATTTGTCACCTACCTATTTTGCTAGATTAGGCCAATTTAAATTAACCTTAAATCAACCATTTTTTCTTCTCAAGTTATTTAATAGCATCCTACGCCTGTTACCACTTTGCTTTTGTCATCTTAGGCCTCTTTTTCACCTAACCCTTTGTTGTTTTATTACTTTATACATTATACAATACATTACATGAATTGAAATTTATTATTATTATTATTATTATTATTATTATTATTATTATTATTGTTATTATTATTATTTCACTAAATCGGATTTAAGGGGAATATCTTTTGTGTTATTTTCCTTTTAACATTATTATTATATTATTATTATTATTATTAGTATTATTATTATTGGCTTTTCCCAGCAGTACTGGCCATTGTTTTCGTTCTGATTTTTTCTTTTTTCTTGCATAAATTTTTCTTATCTTTTTTACATTGTTTTTTTCTGGCCGTCACTTTCATCACTTCCCATGCTTAGAATTATTCTGTGCTTTGCCGAAACATAGGCCATATATCAAGAATGTGCCTCCTAATATTTAGTGTCAATTTATGGTCTGGTGTGCGTGTGAGGACCAATTAAAATGATTTAAGGTCAAACAGTCTACATCGGAAATTTTAAAAACCAGTCAGATGATCTGAATGAAACTTACGGAAAAGTTTAATCAAGTTACAAGGAAGAAATTTTTATGTGTTAGTGACGATCCAGTGAATTTTTAAAGACCCATATCTAAATATCTCTTTAAAAAAGACGAATGTGTCTAAATGGAACATCTGTCTCTTATACACATCCTTGTATTATACCTGTCTCTTATACACATCTAGATGTGTATAAGAGACAGGTCCAGTAAAGAAATGACTGAATTTTTGTGATGATCTGGCGTAGGGTGTGAATATGAGGATCATTTAAGGAAAACGTCCCACACCAGAAATTTCAAAAATGGGTCAACTGATCCGAATAAAACTTTTGGGAAAGTTTAACCCAAGTTACAAGGAAGATATTATTATGTGTAGGGGACGATATAGGTAGGGTGTAAATTTGAGGGTCATTTAAATTCCTTACGTCCCAGTTATGACACTTGGCAGAATAGTTTTTCATGGTGAAATGAAGAAATGATCCAATTTTGGTGACAATCTGCAGTAGGGTGTGGATATGAGGACCATTTAAAGATTTTTGGTGACAGTTGGTTAAATTATTTAAACGCAATTTTCATTTTCTAAGGCGCTTAAACTAGTTACAGCTAGGGTAAACTCAAAACTACCGTGATATGCATGCAATTTTTGCTTTCAGTCATTGAATCGCAATGAACTGAAAATGCACTTTCCTATTCAAGGTCGGCCCATATAGCGCGCAATGGTTATGGGTCACGATGTACCTCGCTGTTACCATTGCAGCCATAGTTCAAGTCTCACCAATAATGTCACAGTGAATTTGGTTTTTTTTTTTTTTTTCCCCACTTCATTGTTTTGCCACCTCATTAAAATTATATTGGTTTTCCGTGTTTTTTTTTTACTTTATTGCCTTTTAACAACTTTTCTTTTTGTTGCAATTTCAACTTCATTCCTCATTAAAGCAATGGGGAAAAGCCCTATGTTCCGTTGTTCAAACAGACATAGTAAGTCTAGTTATTATTTTAATTATTATTGTTTTTTATTGTATTTCATTGTTTTGGTTTCTTCAGCGTGTGACACATAGAATAACCAGTGATTGTCCAAAAACTTATTTCTGATGGAGTAAAATACTTATGATGGCAAGACCAGTAGCTGGAGTGAACTAGAGCAGCTGGGCCCTTTTTTTTTTTATTGTGCACACAAGTATTGTACACTGGTATTGTTTAATATAGTTATTTTTTAGTATATATTATTATTCATATTCATTTGCAGGTGTATGGTTGCAATCATTGAACGCATTATGCCACCGGACTATTACAGCAAGACTCTGATTGGCTCACAGACTGATCAGCGTGTCTTCAAAGAACTCTTAAGTGAAAAGATTCCACGTTTAAATGCTCATCTTGATCGCGAAAAGTAAGTATTACTTTTGCATTATTTCTGCGTCATTTTCTTTTCCATTAATTAAAGCAGATCTGTCACGAGCATGACACTCCAGTGCTCAAAAGCCTTCGTTGGTTACCTGTCCATCTCGAAATACAAGATTCAACTCCTTGTTTATAAGGCACTCATGTATGGTTCTGCCAAATATCTTGCTCACATTCTTAAATCCTTAGTCTTACCAGCCTGCGCGGCAAGGTCTTAGATCCGCTGATAAGTGCCTCTTATATACCCCTATGTGTAGGACCTTTTAGGGTGCTCATTCATTTTCTGTGGCTGGCCCCTCTTGTTAGAATGAACTCCCAATTATCACGCATATTTCAGAATCGGCCATTTCAAATCTAAACTTAAAACTTTTTATTTCCGTTCTCACTTCCTTCATTTTTTTTTTTCTCCTTGTTTTTATATTCATTCATTTTTATATTTTATTGTTCATTGTTCTTTTTTCCTTTTTTCTTGGGATTACATGCACCGTAATTTTGAGGGAGCGGTGCCACAAGCATCTCCATATCATGGATGATCAATGCGTGCGCCAAATAAATCTTTGATTGATTGATTGATTGATTGATTGATGTCATATTTATTACAATACAGCTATATAAAGCTCTGTCCACTCTATCAGATTTTCTTTGACAAAAAAAAATTGTTATATGCCCATATATGGTCATGATGTATGCTTTTGTCCAAACAAATTTGTTGGTGGCAGCATGGGCACTAATAGAAAATGATGGATATTATATGATATTAACATACAATTAAAACATACACTAAAAATTGGAATGTTACGTCCCAACAAAAGATTGACTTTACTTAGTAAATAATGTTCTCTTTGCATTGCAGTGTGGATCTCTCTTTAGTAACTTTTAACTGGTTTATTACAATATTCTGTGACAACATCCCAGCAGAGGTAAGCTACAAGGGTGGATGAGACATGACTTGTATTATAC